GCAGAAAAACTGATCTGTTTGAAACAGGACTGAACATTTACTGAGAGCTGCCTTCAACAGAACATCGAGATAAAACAGCTTTACCATCACAGTGAGCAAATCCAGAGGTAAGTTTCTCCTTTTTATATTTAGAGTTAAGTTATGTGGAGAAATGTTTGATTTATAGTATTTCCATATGATATAAAGTGTTCTTATTTTTTTTTAATTACATGTAGTTTTCTAATGTTTTTTTTTTCCATCTAAACAAAATGACTTTCACTCATAAAACTAAAATACTATAATTATTCCAACAGATAACAACAACATTTTAACAAAAAACACCAATTCATGCATGAGAGAAAAAATGCAGTGGAATTTATTTCTGGTTATTTTGTTCGGTAAGAGACTTTGAATAAAAACTGCAGTGGAAAGAAAAAAACTGTTAAAAAACGGTTATAGTTGCTTATTAATCCTGTGGGTACTATTATTTTTTCAGCTCAGCCCAGTTTGATGGTCTGTCAGCTCTATGATTATCACTACATTAATGAGGAAAAGACCTGGACTGAAGCTCAGCAGTACTGCAGAGAGAAACACACTGACCTGGCCACAGTGTCTAACATGGCAGACATGAAGAGACTCCTCAGTAACTCAGCAGGAAACATGAAGGAAGCTTGGATTGGTCTGTATGATCAGACAGATGGTATCAGAACATGGTACTGGTCTCTGCCTGGAGTGGAGTTCAATGAGACAAACTGGAAAGAAGGAGAACCAGATGATTATGAAACTGAGAACTGTGCTGGTAGAAAAACTGAAACTTCTAAATGGAGCGACATATCTTGTGACCATCAAACATATTTTCTCTGCTATAATGGTGAGTACGCATTTTTATTCTTTCTGAACTGACTCTTGAAAATATTTACAGAACTACCATAGCCTATGGTATAAAAATATATTTTTTCACTCTAAGAAATATCTAAAAGATTGTAGGGAGAGATTCAGAGATTTTTAATTGTATTAAATTGTATTATCTTTCTGCTGACAGGCAAACTTTTTAACTTTTTTCATTTAACCTTTGCGGTGCTGTTTTGTAGAGTTTTTCACTGTGATATATTTTACTATTCCACAGAAAATAAAACATCAGAGAAATTCTACCTGATTAAAGAAGAGAAGACCTGGCTGGAAGCTCAGAGTTACTGCAGAGAGAAACACACAGACCTGATCAGTGGAATGGACCAGCTAAAAGAATTCCAACTGAAAGATGTTCTATCTGTAGATAGTTGGGTGTTTATTGGTCTGTTCAGAGACACCTGGAGGTGGTCAGATGGAAGAAGCTTTTCTTTCAGACACTGGAACCTTCAGTTTGATGATGAGAAATACAACAGCGGTCAATGTGCCATGACTGTGTTTGATGATGGAGGCAGATGGAAGAATGAGGACTGCGCGGCGAAAAAACCCTTCATCTGTTATGATGGTGAGTTTATTTGGTTTGAAATTCATAATATCTCTGTACTGACCAGCATTTTACCAAAAACCAAGTCACAACAACAGTCACAGAAACAGATAATGTGCTTAAATTATCTTATTGGTTTAGAAAGACTGTGCAAACTGTACCTATGGTTCCCTGCTTGTAGCCCATAGTAATGGCATCAATTATGATTTTTCTATTTGAAATCAAATCTGGTTTAATGCATTGATTTTGCATTATATACAAACTTTTCTTTTTTTTTTTGTTTCACTGACAGATAATCTGATCCTGGTCAAAGAAAAGATGAACTGGAAGGATGCCTTATCCTACTGCAGGGAACACTATCATGATCTGGTCACCATCAAAACCCTTGAACAGCAGATATTGGTCCAAGAGAAAGCCAAGAAGGCATCAACTCCTTTTGTCTGGTTAGCACTGCGCTATAACTGCACTAAGAAGTTCTGGGTCTGGGTTTATCCTGAGAGGGTCACTAGCAGAACCCAGAACTCAGGTGGAGAGGTCGATGACTGTAACATTTCTGGAGCCATGGACACTGGAGGACAACATAAGTGGTTCCAAAGAAACGGGGGAGAGGAGTTTAATTTTATTTGTTCTAAGATTTAAGGGCAAAGGTTTGTTCAGCCTGCATTCTTCACCCCATGTATCAGTAAAATGCTTTGTTATATCATTTCTGATTTTTTACTTGAACTTTGTCTGTGTGATTGACTGTCAACGCTATCAATCCTGAGAAGCTCACTTTATAAAAATCTGATGCATCACTGAATCGGGTCTGTTAAAGGTCTTGTGGCTCTGCAAAACATGACAGTTAGTGAGGGAATCAGCTACTGTAAATTAGCCCTTTTTTCT